TTTCCCTTATGGGACAAGCTCAGGATTTGCTCCATTACCCCCTGTGATGTTGAGAGAACCAGGAGCTCAGATGTGTCAGCATAGCCTGTGGCAAGCAGTGGGGATGAGATGCTCCCACCACAGTCAAAGCTGCTTCTTCACATTTCATTGAGGCCAAAGAGGCAGCCCTCTCAAGGGCTCTGGTTGTGTGGAAGGCCACTGAGCAATTTTCCAGTGGAATGAAGATTTATAGATATATTTTGTTACAGCACTATTAAGGTCAGAACCATCCCACTAAAAGCAACAGACACAGTTCTGGTAGAAATGATCCATTTCCTGCTGCCAGTATTAGCACTGTAGTGTCGGTACTGGGATGGTAGCTAGCCCAGAGCAAATGAAATGCCAGCTGTGACTGTACAGCAAACATGACCGACCTCCTGTCTCGCTGTGTGATGGCATCTAAATCCCTGTAAAACCCTAGTCAAATCCTGGAAAGAGCCTGTATTTTGGAAAACCACCATCTGGCTTGGTTTGGGGTTGAACTTTATGGGCCTAATGAAAAATGCTGCATTAAAAGAATACATCGGGTTTGGACTCAGGACTGGTGGAGCCTGAAATTCTGGCCTGGATGAGGCTATTTATAGGACAAACACCACTAGCTTAGTCACACCAGCAGTTCTGTTGCTCTCTAGAAGAGGTGAGTGTCATATGCATGTGCACATGCTCCCTTCTAGTTATATTCTCCGGCAGGGGACAGACTATCTGAGACTTGCCAATGCTCAGAGCTACAGCACCAGGAAGAAGCCAAGAAATTCAAACTCACTAGTTGAAATCCCAGGATTATTGACATCTGCCTCATAAACCAACGGTATGTCTACATGGATAATAGGCCATAGGTTCGGGCATGTGTTAATGCTTGTACCTCCCAGCCATCCATGCCAAAAATCCTTACACTCATCTCCTGCAGCGAGTATAACCCAGGAGCACAAGCCCTGCCTGAGTTCAGGGTATGTGCCTCCCTTAGCCATTACTTTGCCTCTTTATGTGGCCATTCTGCAGTGAGGTTACAGCAGAGCTTTTTTTTTTTTTAATTTTGTGTCTTTGGCCAAATCAGCCAAATCAGTTCCAAGTTCTATCAACCGGGTGGAGCTCAGTCGTTCAAATCTGAGTGATGCTACCATTGGCAAATATCTTCCCTCCTGGAGCTTCCAATACTCCTAAATCCATGGGAGGTATCCTGTGTGCAAGCCCCAAGCCCGGAGGCCTTGGGGTTCAGGTACCCCCTACTCTCGCTTGCCCCTAGCCGAAAGGCTGTAGGAGCAAGCTAGAAGGAAACCCTGAGAGCAATCCCCCATTGCCATATATTGTGAAGCCAAGATCCTCCCATTGGGAGGCTATAGTAGACTCTCATAGGGGGCCTGTCCACAGTGCAATGGACAGGTCTCCACCCTCAACTACACCAAGTCATTCAAGCCTGGGAAGGGAATCTCCCCTTCCAGGTACAGTGAAACCACCTGACTCAACACTGTCATCATGGTGTGTCTCCTGAATTGCAGAGCTCCACTACAGGCAGTCCTCTACTGGCATTCCCACAGTTCCCTGTTCTGGACTCTTCTGCACATCTCCTTCTGTTCTCTGCAAGCCAGATAGCTCCCAGGTCAGCATTGAAGCCCTCATTTTCTTTACAGACTACTCCAAACGACCAGGATGGCCCCTACCAGCTCCTGACTGCCAGCTGACACTCACTGCACCAAGCCAAGGGTGAGTCCCGGACACCAGAGCAGCATATGCGGGGTCTGGTTAATGCCTGCAGGGAGTACAGCACCCCCCACCCCAGCTTCTGGCCACAGCGGCTGGAATATCCACTATCAAAATGCATTCCCCAGACCAGGCTGCAGGGCTGGAGCCTATCGAGCCCCCTGAGCAGTGATACCCAAAGGCAATGGATGCAAAGCAGAGGTCTGGCCGTGCTCTAGCTTCATGTCCCTGCTGTGCAGAGCTCACAGGGGGGATCACTGTCAGTGCTCCAAATACCAATCCATTCTTCTCCCTGGGATCTACTTTACAGTGAAGAGGGAGAAGAGGCTGTTGCAGCAGGATCCCAATATGGGATTGCCATTATGATGCTTCCGTCCATGGCAAGCCAGAGCAGCCAGCTGATCAAATGGGGAGATTCTGCAGATGTCCTAAGTAATGTCTCCAGGGACCTGCTTGATGGCAAACTCCTGATGCGTCCTCAGAGGTGGAACCAGAGCCCAGGTGCTGAATGCCATCTTTATTATTGCTTTAAGAGATGTTTGGGGATACAGTGGAAGGGATTTCCTTGGAGGTTTTTAAGACCCAAGTAGACAAAGCCTTGGCTGAGATGATCTAGTTGGGGCTGGTCCTGCTTGGAGCAGGGGGTTGGACTAGATGTGACCTCCCAAGCTCCCTTCCAACCCTCATTTTCTATGATTCTATGATTTCAGGGAGGTGACCACAAGTATGACATTGGGGAGGGTTTGGGCTTGCCCTGAGCATGAGTGGTTCCAGTTTAGAGCAGAAGCCATGGAAGGAGCTCACACAGCAGTTAGTGCCCCTTTCCCTCTCACCCCCTTCCTGCTGCATACATCCCAGGATGGTGACGAAGTGGGAAGGAAATGTTGAAGAAGTTCAAGCCAAGCACTAACAGTCTGGCCATGTTGCCTAAGCCATTCTAATTACAACTCCATGGTCTGAAGAGCTCTCAGGAGCTGTTACCTGAGCTTAAAGGTACATTGTTGTGATCTGCATAAGCACGAGATTCATGGATTATAAGTCAAGAAAACTCATGTAAAAACAAAGCTGGAAAACTGCATGCAAGTTATACAGCCCCTGGCGCGGACAATGCTCATCAGTGTTAGAAAACACCAGACATCTGTTCTGTCCTTGCTAGCCCCCCACCATGGAAGGGAAGATCAGAGGGGATGGGAGTTAATGGGTGTGAGACAGGTAGGTCGGAGGGGAAAAGACACAGTGATAAAATGTAGCCGGTAAAATGTGGAGGTTACCTGGGGTTATTGGATGGCAGGCAGGTTATAATGTGCCACGAATCCAATGTCTATATTTAGTCCATGTTTTTTGTATCCAGTGGATTTATGAAGTGAAGTTCATGGGCTCATCTTTGAAAGGTGTTTTGTAAATTCCCTTTGAAGATTAGAGCTGAGAGATCGGGGAGAGAGTGGTTGTCTTGTGAGAAATGTGCACCCACAGGTAGCTGGGTATTCTTGTCTTTGATAGATTTTCAGCGTGCATTCATTCTGGTACGCAATTGTTTCGTTTCTCCTATGTAGTTTCCATCAGGGCATTCCATGCACTGGCTGAGATATGTTACATTTCTGGAGGTGCAGGTGGAAGATCCAGGAACGGCGATAGTTGTGCTGTGGGGTTTAGTTATTGTGGGAGTGGTGGTGATGTGTTGCCAGGTTTTACATTTCCTGTCCCAGCATGGTCTGGATCCATTTGGTGTGCTTTGGGTCATGGGAAGTTTGCTTCTGGTGATGAGGTTGGTGAGGTTCAGTGCTTGTTTAAAGGCTAGGATGGGTGGTTCTGGAAAGATCTCTTTAAGAATCTTTTCTTCTAGTATGGGTTGCAATCTGGGAGGTATGGAAGGAACAGGAGGAATGAAACATAGAGAAACTCTTGGAAACAGAGATCATGCAGGAGTGAGACCAGAAACTTGTGGGACCAGAAGCCTGGTCAGAATGGTGATGAACAGGACCGAGTACTGAGCAGCCACCCCCCAGGGTATCTGGGCAGGGTTAGGCACTCGGGGCGAGGGATGAGGGCTGTTAGAATACATCATGCAGATAGGGGAAGACTGCTCACAGGCCAAGCTCCTGAGCATGGAAATACTGATCAATGTCCACAAACCCATGCACAGTATGGCTCCAACATCTCGTCTTCCCCGATGCTGCTTTCAGCCACATAGCTGCTGCAGGCAGTAGATACAAAAAGAGCTGTTTGCAACTGAGATTGCCTTGAGCAGGGGGCTGGACCAGATGACCATATGAGGTCCCGTCTAGTCCTGATTTCTTCTGATCCTATAAGACCAGAGAAGCACCAGGTCTGCTGAAGTTTAGCACAGCTTCACTCTTGCTTTGCTCTCATGTCAGGCCACCAGCTTTTGAGCTAGCTCTGCAAATAAGAAGTCTGACTGGTATAATAATATAAGCTCATCTATCATACAAAATTATATTATAGGCCGGTAGCTCAAGGCAATGCCTCACAGTTCCCATTAACTCAATGAGGAGCGGTAGCAGGTCCCAAGTGTATTAGACAGGTCTACTGCAATGCACTGATGGAGGCGCTTTCACTGAGGCATTGCAGATTCCCAGTTTGAATCTTGAATCTCAGTTTGAACGTGCATGTGCAACAGGTTAATGACTGTGAAAATGGGATGCCTGTTGCCTCAAATAACTTACCCAGAGCAGAGCACTGATGTCTTCCCCAGGTGCAGCGTGGTTTTACTACAGCAGTATATTGACTCAGAGAAACCCCAAGTGCAGGGTTATTCGTTACGCTTGGTATGTTGTAAACGGAGATCAAGAAGGACTTCCAAATTAGGCCTCTCTCTTCCAGGAGAGAACTGTTACATTGTCCTCCGAACATTAATGGAATCTGTGGTACATGCGCCTGGATTCACCTCCCACCACTCCTCTGTCTGCATAATTAGGTCTCACTCAGAGTGCTGCTTTCCGTAGCGGCTGAAGAACCACTTTCTCCAGGTGACAGAGCTGTAAAGAGGAAACATTTATTGCAGAAAGAAAGTCAGCCACAGCTAGTGGGTCTGGGCCATGGTTTCGGGATAAAGAAATGGCTTCTTTCTCAGAAATAGACCTCACTAAAAATAGCATCTCCTCAGGAACAGGGCTGCCTGAAAATAGCTGTTTCTCAGGAGCAGGGCTGGCTGCTTCTGAAAGAAGCAGCTATTAATGTATAATTGTCCCTCAGGCTGGTTTCTGAGAAAATGCTGTGTATTCAGAAGGCTGTAATGAGATATGTTCATGGGCAGGAAACACAGGCACTTCTTGGTTACCAGCTGTCCTGTAAACTCTTGTAGATCACACAGCCTCGTTTGGTTCTCAGGTGTACCAAGACCTATTGTGGTTCTTGGAGGCATTTTCCGGCACAGCCCTTAAAGCACGGCTGAACGAGACTGGCAGATAACAAAGTCAGGGTAGTCATGCTGCAATCCAGTGTAATTGCATCTCTCTTGCCTTAGCCATGCACAGCACTATAGTGTCTCATGGCTAACCCCAGCTTGGGAAGCTCAGCCCTCTTTCTACTTTGGGTTCAGGTCCCACATCTCAGTGCCAAGCAGTGGAACTAAAACCTAGTTTCCAGCTTTGCTCAGTGTTTTGAGATGTCATGTAAACATTATAATGCACAAATGTTACCCACAAAGCTTCAGTGAATGGCCTGATTTACTGTCTAGAGATGTGCAAATGTCCAAAACGACAACCTGGCTGGTCTCCTTCTAACATGCCTCAGCCTTTCCCTTTTTGCCCCTTCCCTGTCTCAACAACTCACCCTCAGGCCTCCTCAACCCATACAGTCAGCATCTACGTCTTTTCCTCTTCTTTTTCACCCTGGGGAAAACTCTGGTTGACAAAGTGAATCTTAGAGTGAGAGAGAAGAGACACCCCAGAACATAAGTGTCTTGCAATGGCAGAAGTTCTAAGGAAACACTGGTGACAGCAAACTGCAGATGGCTGTGGCTGCTGCTATGTTCTGTATGCTGTGGCACTTGTCGGCACCACACACAACACCCTGCCTGCAGCTGTTTGATCTTCTGCCAGGATTCTCTGCAGATCTCAAGAGCTAAGTAGGACTTGACTGCTTGGGTGGGACTTCTTCCTTGCCCAATGAGCAGCCCGAGCAATTAACCAACTGGGATCGTCCCTCTAGTTGGTGGGGAACCAATGATCCAGCATGGAAGAGCCCAAGGCATTTTTGATTAGCATTGTAAGTTAATCTCTGTGTCCTGATCCAGTGCCAACATCAGCAATTGCAATCTAGTTACACAGATGATCACTGCACTTGCTATCATCTATGTCTCTTTCTCTGCACCTGTGGGGAAGTTGCCTGCAACACAGAAGGACTTAGGTGACTTAGCTCTGATCCACCTAGCTTAAGTACCCACAGCAGGGAAGCTGGGGAAGCAGGGACTTGAGGTACTACCCACACCAATGGTCCCCAAGGAGTTTTGTATAGCCCACTCTGAGGCCTGAGCCTACCCTGGTGCCCCAGCTACGTAAACTAAAGCTAGGGAAGACATGCACATACACTCCCAAGTGCAGTACATACATCCTTGCTGTCCATATTGCAAAGTAGCACTGCCCCAAGCTGGCAAACCACTGTTGATTATAGCAGTGGATGAAGTGATATATATCATATATGAAGGGCTCATATATCTCCTACCTACCTTAATTCATTAATGTTGGCCAAATACTCTGTGGCTGTCAGATGGAAGGAGTTAGGGAAAGGCAAAAGGAGAAAAGAAAGTGCAGATCCTTGGCAGATTGGTTTGATTATGCAGATGCTTTGCTGCACGACATTATCATATGATGCTTCACACTCCTCTAATACTTATCTCCCAAGAATCTGACTCTGCCAGTTGTAAATAATTAAAACCTTACAACTCCTCTCTCAGGGAGATACAGAGGAAAACAGACAGTTCAATTAATCCGTCATTGAAATGCAGCGACTACTGGGGTGGAACTGAGCCATGTTTCAGCAGCATGTAACAATGCTAGGACACAGGTTGAGGAACATACTCCTCAAATGAAAGCATCAGCATGATCAATAAACTGCTACAATTTGGTGTTGACAACACAGGCCATTTCATCACGGGTTAACCCCAACCTGTGCATAAAGTAATTTTTTAATAACCACAGGCAGCTACGTCTCATTTGGAAGTACATCACCTCCAACAGCCGAGCAGCCCCTGTCCCCATAGCTGTCTCAGAGACAAGAGTGCCACCTACTGAGTTGCCAGTACTCCCTAAAGGTCAACCTGAAACATTGCTGTTCCTGCCCCCAACTCCTGGCCTCTCGCATTTCCAAACAGCCTTACTTTGTGAAGTAAAAAAGGAAGGAAGACAGCCCATGTGAGGAACCTGAGTGACAGTTCAAAGTCACATATCTGAAATCCTCCCCGACTCGTAGAAATGTAGAGACTAAATATCAGCATTAATATTTAGACAGGAATTTCTTCCTTTCCCCTGCTTTAAGCTTCCTCCTGGGTGAGCACATAGGACACCTCAGCCACTGGGCAGGTTTGATGAGACGTATCTGTTAGGCCACTTTCATTCCACTGCAAAAAGCTAGAATCTGATCTTGTAAAAATGCAGCCCTGGGGTAAGAAGTGTCCCTGCCTGCTAGGTGGAAGACTGAGATGAAGGAAAAGGTCCATGAATGCAAAAAAATATGTGTATGGACATGCTGTGCCAAACACACACAGAGGAAAGAGAGGGGAGAGGAGTGGGAACGGAGCCTATTAGAAGTCTACACAACTCTACCCATCAAATGAACAAAAGCATCCATCAATCCTGTGATAAAGAAAAATGTGTGTCTACAGCATTATCCATAGAAAGGGAGAGACATGGTCTAATTATCTGTGCATTAAAACCAGGAACATCTGGGTTCTGCTCAGCTCTAACACTGCCTCCACTTCTGTCTTGGGCACATCTCATGACTCCTTTGTCTGAATTTGTGCATCTATAAATTATGTTATCTTAGCTATGAGGGTCAATTAGGTAATGCCTATATAACATTATGTAAGTGCTAAGTATTAACAAGAAAAAGAGGGGAAGGGAGGAGAAGAAAGGAGCAAGAACCATTTCAAGTTTGGAAAAAATGTCAGCTGGTTCAGAGATGGCACCAAACAGTGGGACTCTGGTTTCTTCTCCAGACCTTTCCTACCCTCTGCAAGGCCCAGCAGTACAAGTCTCATGGTGGGAAGCTCTCTTTTATTCAGGCAGTCACCAGTTCTTCCCCAGAAGCCATGTCTCTGTTTACTTCTTGGCCTGAAAAAAATAGGGTTTTAACACTCCCTGTTTTAATTGTGATGAGGGGGAGAACACAATTTGCAGCTGAAGTGGCTGTGGTCAAAGCTATACCGGAGCAGAAACCCCTGCTGTGCCAGCAATTTTACCTCATAGTGTCTGCCTCACTTTTGTGAGCGTTTTACTTAGCATAATTTATTTTGTTTTAATAAAGCTGCACTAGGAACATGAAATGGCTCCCCCAAGCACAGGTGTCAGCCAAATTGCAGAGTTAACAAAGCTGAGACAATGGGACATGTCCCACAGAACCAGAGCCAGGCAGAGGCCAAGGGAACAGTTCCTGAAGCACAGAGAGGAATCCACCCACAAATCTTAAATATCAGTGTTTTTGTTTCCCCACCTCTAAAATGAGGGTCATAGCATTAATTTACACTCTTTTTCCTGGGTAAAATGAGGGTGGTTGAATGTCTGAGGTGCTTTGAAGGAATAAAGAAATATGCAAGTGCTGAACAACTAATGAATGATAGTGTCCTCCTTTGAAAAGTGCTTTGAGAATGACTGATGAAAACAGCTATATAAGAGCAGAGGGGGGGAGGTCCAATCTATCTATACTTATAGCTTAATTCTCTGAACTTTTACTGGTAGAACAGTCCCTCAATTTTTTTCAAAGCAGTGAGAATTCACCATTATAGCTGCAGGCCCATTGTCCTGAAGAAGTCTGGCCATAGAGAAGACTCCAGATTCAACTCCTGACAATCCATCCAGGCCTGCTAAGGACCTGTGTGACTTCTGTCCTGGGGATCATACTATTTTGCTGAATCGGACTGGAATCTGTGCTGCAGTTTACATGCCCTTCAGCAGTATCAGTGAACCGAGCTTGTCTTCTCAGAACCAGGATGGAAGATAACACCAAGGGAGTTGTCATTTGGGAAGCTTGCAGATCAAAGGCAGAGCATTCCCCCGCTTCCCTGCTACCAGACTGTTTATGCAGTCTGAAAACAAGAAATTAGCTCAGGTGATCTGGAGCCTCAAGGTGCCCCTCTACTTCTCAGCTTTCAGACATATTTTAAACCCTGGTCCATTCCTTTCTGCTTCAGTGTAAGAGGGATAGTAAAACATCTGGGTTCAGTGAGAGTTAAAAGAGGCAGGAAGGGATTTGTGGGGTTCAGAATAATATCTACCCACTCGTGATGTTTCTGCATCGTTTAGATCAGTGGGTGCTTTGTCCCTGGGTGCAGAATTTCAGCGGATGCAGGATCAGCCTCTTAGTCCTCCTTTCTCTGTCTACAAAACTTTTCTTTCCTCATCAGCCCAAGGCTAACCTTCCGCATGAAGCACATTATAATATTGCGCTCCAAGCATGCTGCAGAAAAAAAGGAAAGATGTATAGCATTTGCAAAATACTTTGGATATGTGAATACTGACAACTACTATTTTCTCTATGCATGTTACTAGTAAAATAGCTTCATATTCCCTAGAGGGCCTCAGAGAAATGAAGGAAAGCCTCAGGGTAGCACTTCAGTAGGTTTTTATTGTTTTAGTTTGTGTGGAACCTTATTGAAGCTGGTAGGTTTAACTGCTGTAAGACAGCTGGAGGAGGCAGCTAAACACATGCTTCCAGATTGTCCAGAGGCAAATGCAAAGCAGCTCATGAATTTGAATGCTCCTGGCGCGGAGGACTTTGGCTGGGTGATGTTTAGGACAAGGTGTGTGTGAAAGTACAGGAGAAAAAGGGGCAGCATGCTGAAAGACAGAGGGGCAGCTTCAGCATAGGCCACAAAAACACTGGTCTGAAGCTCTAGGATAAGCACAGAAAAGGACGTTTTGGGTTTGGGGTGCTGACTGAAAGAGGCTGTGGGCTATGTTCAAGGAAACAGTCTCTGGTTGTTTGAGTTCTTTGTTCAAAAAAGCAAGGCTTTGTATCTTCTGTTAAATAAACAACTGCATCATAGATGTCCACCTCAATCACCAAGGTCTCCATTTAAAAAAAATAACCTACAGGACCGTAAATTTTGACTCACCACTCGGGTCAAATAGGGTAACATTTTGTAGCACAGAACCACAACACAGATTCACATCAGTTAACTACTACTGCTTTGCATAGGATTGAAATGCTATTAAGACAAAAATCTATCCCCTCTCTCAGCCTACAAGAGGATGGATAGCTCAGGTCAAGGTTAAAACTACTGCAGTTTAAATGGCCCTGACTGGAGGCATAAAAATGGTTTCCCATTTCATGCCTACCAATTCTTTAACTTCCACGATCCCCACGTTATCTGCTCTGAACAGTGCTATGCACTTTTCCACACTGAAAGGGGGATTAATTGAGATTAGGGTCCCAATTACTTTTTGCAATTATTTCTGATGCAAATTATCCTTACTCACATAAGTAGTCCAATTTAAGACAACAGGAAGATTTACATGAGTAGGAGAAGCAGTACAGAGCCATAATATTATAGTAATACAAGGAAAAGGCCATATACCAGTTCATCAGGGGACACTTTCGCAATAAAAAAAATTACCAGTAAATACAATAATAAAATAAGCCTAATTTAATAAAGGGTTTTTAAACTCATTTAACAAAGAATCAGGTAGGAATAATTTCTTCAAATGACTGGACACACTACATTCTCCTAATACCAGCTCCTACTAATAACTAAAAAGACAGCAAAATAACTGGCACTAATCTATTCCTTCTTTTTACATAAGGGAGGGAGTACTCTTCTATGTTTAGAAACTGATTTAAGTAAAATATAAACTAATCATCTAGAATGCCCTGAGAGCAAGATGTATTAGTCTGCAGAAGAGTATTCCGGAGAGTAAATGATAGAAGACCCTTTTTCTCAAGTCATTTAATGATAAATAATACAAAGCACTGGAGATTATAATGTAAGAATCGTGCTGAGGCTGGAGTGAGGAGACAGGCTGTATGATCTCAGAAATGAGAGATTACAGAGATCTATGATGCAGTATTTATGTATGAGCCCTGTGGGCCTCCTTCACTGTTCTTAATTTAGTCTTCGTTATCCCTGATCTGGTGTAATAGTCCTCTACAGGAATGGAGATTAATGTCTAACAAATCTTGAGCCTCTCCTGGCACTTCAGAGGCATCAACAGCCTCTGTTTACTGCCATATCATTTTGCCTTGCACGTTTAGTACAATGAACAACAAACCCTAATATATATGTATTACAGACTTGATGTCTGTCTTTTTAAAGCCTCTAGAGGTCAGGTTAATCTAATGCTTGTTTCCAGCAGAAGTGGTTCCCCTAAACAAGACTGACACCTGCTGGGGTTTTCTGCTTTTTGAAACCATCCTTCATTTGATCTTAGTTGGTTTCTCAGAATCTTTTTTCTGCAAACTGTGGCCTCTTTGCTGCCCCATTCACAGATGCACAGCAGGCAAAGCTCATTTAAAAACATGAAAGAAATCTGGCTGCTGTGACAGAATTTATGTTCAGGTCTGTCACTGTCCAGATAGTCTAATATGGTTGGAAGCAATCAGGACTTGTAGTAGAGATGATATATCTTTTATTAGACCGAGATTTTTGCACAAAAAAAAAATCTTTATTGGCAAATTGGCAAAAATCTTGTTGGTCTAATAAAAGATATCGTCTCTACTACGAGTCCTGATTGCTTTTTCCTCTAGACCAATATGGCTACAACCTGGATACCTGACTAATAGATTTGTACGATTCAAGGTGAAAAGAACATATTTGTGTTTTGACCACAATTTGAGCCATCCTCCTGGGGGCGGCTATCCAACAGGGTAAGGTAAAGTGGGACAGTCTGTGTTTGGAGCACCTTTTCTAGCCCCCTCCTCATGCAGGGTGAGCAGAGGGGATCCTAAAAAGGACTGCTTGGTTACGATCGCAGCTGCTGAATCCCCTCCTGTCCCAGACCGAGGGTGAAGCGACCGTAACAAGGCCACCACCGACCGGCATATGGATCTGTGACTAGGGACTCCTCGTGATCACTTCGTCTGTCCCCGCTGCCACTCGTCCATTGCTGCAGGACTTTGCGGAAGTTATAGGTATTGGTACCGGGTCTCGTAGCAAGTGCTGGACCAGCGGGAGAAGCCTGCGTGTGAGGTTTTTTTTAATGTGAGGAGACCATTGCGCATCAACCGCTGCACGGATCTTGGCAGAGGAGAAACCTGTGTCCGGCGGCAAGGACATCCAAGACAACTGGGGTTCCTCTTCCACTGCAGCCCCATCCGCCCGCGCAGCCGTGGAGCAGCGTGCCTTCTGCATCCGTCTGCCCCACCGCTGAGGTCTCCGTGTTGGGCTGGGCTGGGCTGGGCTGGACTGCTCTTCATCTGATACCTCACCTCTGACTTGACCGTGGTGGGTGACCCTACCAGGAGTACAAGACTCCCAGCGGTTACGGTGGCCAACTCTGACCGAAGCTCTTCTGGGAGATTTTCCCCCCCACACACGACGTCACGAATCGTCCCGTTCAAAGCATCTGATGGTCCGATTTTGGCAGACACTCAGCCGATCTGGGAGGGTGGGCAACCCAACCAACAGTGTTGTTTGTAGGGCCATCGGTGCGCGCAAATCCTCTCCACCCCATCACGGCGGCGGCGCGCAGGGACATATTTATGGAAGCGACGAAGCGGCGGTCATCGTCGTGAGGCACAGATCCTCCTCACGCAGCTCTGCCGGTGCAGCCATCTTCCCCCCGCCTCGTCCTCTTCCGCAGCAGCTGGCGGCGTCTCCTCGCCTCGCCTGCTCCGTGGAGAGGCGGGAAGGGTTTGACGTGCGAACACACTGTGAGGTGCAAACAAGCACGTTGTGAGGTGCAAACACGCCGAGGGATGGCGACGGGCCCACATGGCCCGCTGTTCACTTGTCGTACGGTCACGAGAAGGCGCGAAGGGAGGGGCCTCGCTCTTCCCCTCAACTTGATGACCCAAAGCCCTGGAGGGGCCTCGCTCGCCCCCTCCATTGCAGCCCGCCCGGAGCCCTGCAGACCACCTGCGAGGCTGCTCAGCCGCGCAGCCAATCACACGACGCCGCTGTACGTCATCTCTCCACGCCGCCGTGCCGAGTGATGACGTACAAGCTCTAGAGGGGCGAAGTCCTGGGGGGCGGGGTCCTCCAGCTCGTCTATGACGCCAATCGCCCCGCCCACGTGCTTCCGGGTGGAGGGAACTTCCTCCCGTCAGCCCCCGCGCGCGGGGCACCTCTGGCAGCGGCAGC